CGCCGGGCTCTCTCGCCTTGCCTTCTCGGGAGGGATGTCAATGGTCGTCACGCGATCCGCGCAGAAAAAGAGAGACCCCGTGGCCCGGTGTCGCGCGTGTGCGTCCCACACTCTCTGTTCCGTTCCATTGTCCCCTCGATTATTCATCCGTCTGTCTCTGTCTCACATTTGGCTCCACATATGCCTCGGATACTCGCGAAATTTTCGCAACCGACCAACGTAGTTGTACTCCCCCTCCCGTATTTACTTTCTCTGTAACCCTTGATTTGTTTTTTTTTTTTTTGGTTCTTTTGCGTGTGACAGTTAGTCGGGAAATAACGACGATTAGATGCGTTATATTCCTGACAGTTTCATCGTGGAGGCTATAACTGCGAGCTCCTCACGAATTTTTCGAATATACACACCGACGAGAGAAGCAATTGTACACCGATATCGACGAGCGAGTATTTTCGTGCAACATTCGAGTACTGAGATATTCGTGATGAGTACACCATGACGAGAATATTCGACGTTGTTCAAGTGAAATTAACGAAGCGTGCGTTGGAAGGGGTTAATTATGGAAGTAGGTATATTCGTGACAGTTGAAGGTGTTTTAAACGCGAATATCCGAGTATTCGTGCACGAATATCGTCGCATGTGTGGTGCCACTGTGATGCAGCTTGTCTGCGGTTCCCTTATACGTGTGCGTGCGTGCGTGTGTGACTGCGAGCGAGTGTGTGTGTACGTGGGACACGCAGGCGACGCGCGTCCGGACGAACGGAGGACCGAGAAAACGAATCGAATATTCGGTTTGACCAATTGTTCTTCCTGGAAGGACGCAGCAGGCGGGCAAGTCGAGAACGAAATTCGCCGCGAAACACTAGAGGCAATTGTGATATTTTTTCTCGAAATTTTATCGGATTTAATTAGGACGAATCGCCGTGGGCGGTGTCGACATGGAAAATTAGGCGCGAATTTATTGAGATGACGATGGGCCGCAGATAGGAAAAAAGAAAAGAAAAACACAAAGCGACGAATAACGACAGTGTGTGTCGAAATAGGTTTTATGAAATTCGGAAAGAGAGATATAAGAAGGGGGGAGGGGGAAAAAACGCGCGAAGAAAGCAAAATTTTATACACCAATTATTATACTGCCAGATTAAGAAGTTAATTCAAAGGAAACGAAAAATGAAAATAAAAAAAATGTAATCAATTATACGATAACGAAAAAAAGCGCAAAAAACACACACACAGAACACAGACACACAGACGCAGACACACGATACGAGTCGAAGAAAAACGATCAATGTCGTCGTTTCGTGTACAGAAGAGAAAAAAAAAGAAGAATATATATATATAAATATCACACACACATTTGCGCGCGCGCGAAGAAAACCATCAAGCCAGCCCACCCTCGCGAGTGTGTGTCGAGCTTAGGCTGCTTGGCTCCTAGCTAGCCTCCTCTCGACGACCTAAGACCGTGTTCGCCGACAAAATAGAGAAACAAAGAAACGGAGCTGCGTGCACGAAATTTCATTCAAGATAGACAGGCTTCGCAGTTGAATCGATCGATCGATTGTACAATTGATTACGATTGTACAAACACATCCCATAAACGGGGCGAGATCCTTTACTCTAGGATCTTGCTACAACATAGATATATATATTAAAAAAATGCGTATATATACTTGTATATAGGAGGAAGAAAGGAAAAGAGCATAGATACGAAAGGCAGATTTCTACAGGCACTGTCTGTCTATTAAGGGGCGCTTCTACTTTTCGCCAGTAAAACGTGTGTGTGCTCCCTTCTCGCTTTCGATCGTTCGCACGACATAACCTATAGGCACGAATCGT